TTTGAATTAATGTAAAAATTTTGTAAGCTCCACTACAGCTGCTTGAACATGAATATGAACGCTATAGAAATGGCATTAGGTATAATTTTTAACGAAAATGTTTTACTGTTTGTCTAAATCAATAGACGTAGCTAATACATAGGGCACATTGTAAGTTTCCGGAACTGGCCACTTACATAAACAATATTTAAAAAGTAATTACAACATTTGGAAATGGAATTCTTTGGCTGTAGAATACAGTTTGTTTGTGGTATCATTTTAGGAATTGGTTGTCTACATCACCATGGATTTAACTCGAACTGAAAATTTTCGTAGTATGTTTTTCTACTACTTTGTAAGTGTAATTTCTACTAAGTGTAATTTAACAGCTCATCGGAGCTTTGCTCGGCTTGAAACTGCTTTTGGCGATGAAGCACCATGCAAGACGAGCTATTTATAGCTAGTTTGCAGAATTCAAGCGTGGTCGTGTGAATCTCAGCGACGAATTTCGTGATGGTCGCCCGTCCACTGCTGTGAAGCACAAAAACATCGATGCTGTGCGCCGTATGATCACAACAGACAGGCATGTGCCATACCATGACATTCGGGCATCTTTAGGCATAGGCATGAGTCAAATATAATCAATACTACACAAACATTTGGGTGTGAAAAAGCTGTGCTCTCTGTGGATCCGACATAATTTGACTGATGCTCAAAAAACGGATCGCGTCACTTGGTGCAATGCCATGCTTACCAGATTCAATGAAGGGGCGTCAAATTTGATGTGGGACATAGTAACAAGTGACAAAACATGGATTCATAGTTACGATCCCAAAACAAAGCAGCAATCGAGCGTATGGGTCTTTTGAGATGAGCCGAAACCAACCAAAGTGGCGGGCGTGCAAAGTGCCTCTAAGCGGATGATTGCTTCTTTTTTTAATAAAACTGGACACGTGGCTACTGTTGCTTTGGAGAATCGTTGCACCGTAAATAGTGATTCGTACACGACCATTTGTTTACCGGAAGTTATTGAGAAACTCCGTAAAAAATAACCGTAAACGCCGTATCATCTTGCACCATGATAATGCCAGTTCTCACACGGCCAGACAGACAAATGAATTTTTGAAGGTGAACAACGTTGACATTATGAGCCATCCCGCGTACAGCCCCGACCTGGCACCTTGTGACTTTTATTTATTTCCGAAAATTAAGAATTTGTTACGCGGTCAACGATTTTCATCACCTGAAGAGGCTATCGAAGAGTATGAAAAATGTGTTTCAGAGATTATCACGGAGGAGTGAAATAAATGTTTTCAAAATTGGTTCATTCGTGGAAAAGTGCATTAACGCTAACGGAGAATATTTTGAAAAACAATAAATTCATTTCTGACCATTTTATAGTATTTTTTTCTTATTCATTCCGGAAACTTATAGTGCGCCTCACGTATTATCACAACAAATTAAAAAGAATTTATTTCCATCAAAATTGTAAGTTGTATCTATTAATCGTACAGGACTATAAGGTGATAAATAACCTTAGTGGCAGTAGAGTTCCTTGTGAAAAACGCCTAGCAAAGTAAGCATTACTGCTGACGGGTTTAGAAGGGTAACGTTGCTATTGAAATTACAGGCACATGGGACCGGTCAACTTATGTCTCAGGGTAACGAGCACAGTGGAAATGCCCCTCCGAAACATTAAATTGATACTCCAGTGTGGTATCATAAAACTAAACCTAATACCTAACGCCTAAATGCGTCAGCCTCAATTACTAATTCCTGTTATTAATATGGATATATTAATTTTCTTCTTATTTAATTCACACAAATGTCATTATCATGCATTGCCACAGGACAAATAAATATACTATTTTAGAAGCAGCGAAGCTCCTTATAAAAGGGTTCGTCCTGTGAAGTACTGCCACATTACCTATTTCTACCATCAAGCGATAATGTGAACGTCACTGCGTCCCGGTTTCAAAGGGAAGGTTCCTGGTGAATTTACAATTACATGGGTAACGGGTAGGTGTGTCACTTACCACTAGGTGCACGACTTGTTCGCCATGTGATTGATATCATAGAAGAAACTTACCTTTAATATATTCGACAGCCAACCCAAGACATTGTGATTGTGATATACAGATAGTAAAGAGAATCACAGGTGAATACCGTTCGAGAACTGGTTGTACTTACCATTTTCCACTCGACTAGTTCGTCGATCCCATAAGTGTGGGCCCTATTTTCTACACCTGTACCATTAATTCCTTATTGCTTCATTTACAGGTAACAGAATCCGGGTGTGGGGAATAAAACCAACTTCGCTTAATGGACTCCGAGGGCCAAAATTAACATTTTGGGACTAAAGCTCAGTGGTGGAGTGTGTTTAACACATTTCTATTCGATAATTTTAGTTTCGTTTCATGTTTTCATAGGGGCGTGTGTTTTTTTAGGATTTCAAAGCAACGTTGGTAAATCAGATTGGAATATTGGAACCTTTCACAACACCATATTCGCCCGAAAGCTGTTTAGCATAAGGCTCTTTATCTACTAAAACCGAAGCGCAGGAGAGCTATTTCACCAAGCCAATTGTATTTTATTTTTCTCTAGCTCTTTTCAGTTCTGTTTTGGTTGATAAGGGGCATTAAAACCACGAACTGTGTATATTTTTTTCTTTTCATGGCAATGGTATTAGGACATTATTCCTCATTAAATTATTTTTTACTGCCTACTTATTAACTGCCTCTGTTGCCGAACGGTTACCATGCCGGACTATCACGCAGAGGTTCCGGGTTCGATTTCCGTGCTGGAAATACTTGTATGGCCTACATTTATTTCTCTCGTGAGTTTGGGTGTAATTTGTGGTTGTCTGTTGTGTGTCCATGGCACCCGCGACACAGGGTTTCCCTAGTGCGAGGCTGTGTTGAGTGTGTGCATTATTATTATTATTATTCTCTTTTATTATTTTAGGACCTAAGTTATTATTACTGCGATTAAATACCCTGTGATATTTGTAGTGCAGTAATCAAAAATAACATATTATACTTAGTATAGTTTTAGGGCTATTATTATTTAATACGTAGACAATACCTTCAACACGTACGCTTAATGTATGACTAGATACAGTGAAACTATACTTATTTATTGTCTATCATATTACGGTTCATGTTTCTATAATAAATGAATTATTAATTTAAATATTCTAAAAATATATACCCGTATATCTAGTATCAGCAAAACGGGATCTACAACCCTCTTAAGGACGCGTTCATACAATGTCGTAAGGTTTTATTTATCATTGGACGACTGTGGCGTCTAACCTGTCCCATATCACGACTTTCTGGCGTGACTTTGTCGTGGACGTATATTTCATCGTTGAACGTCTGTCGTATCTAGCTGTTCCCACTAGGTCGTAATGGCAATTTATCACACATAATCGTTGCAAGCTGCGATTATCTGTTGTCATATTTTTATCGTGACGTTTTATTTATCGTCAGACGACTGTCGTTCTATCCCATTGTCACGACAGTCTATTGACGGAACGTCAAAAAAGTCGTGAACGACAGTTAATCGTGCTTTACTATATGTGAACAACTTCAGTTAAATGTACAAGCCAGACAGTTTATATTGCACGACTATCGGTTGTCACAGCATAATGGGAACGCGCCCTAACCGGTTTTTTATATAATATTTAATTTCAGTTCTATTCAATGACCAGTGCCATGTACCTGTGAATTCACCAACATTAAAAACGTTTCTTTGAGAAAATAAAATTACACGCTATCCGAAAAGTAGCTTCATTTACAACAATTTCAATTTGCGAATACATAAGGGTCCGAACAAATCTGGCGAATGAACTGCGTGTGCACTGCACGCATGCATATAACTGCGCCGCTCCATCTGTTTCATGGGCAGTATTACATAAAATAAACCTCCTAAAAGTGTAAATAAATTACATTTGTGATAAAATTACCCATTGAAAATACTGTCAAGTCGTGTTTCAGAAAAATCCCAATACACCTTCAGTCTTATTTAAAAGTAACTAGTAACACTTCACACTCTTTTTCCATCGGGGTAGGCAAAGACCACAATCCTCCACTTTCTACAATCCTTATACACATATCGCCTTATTAAACCTAACCTTTACTGCAATCTGCACGACAGTGGTACTAAGTCTACGCTTCCAGGCTTCCAGTCATAGACACGTTATAGACAAATTGTATAACAATATAATTAATTCTTTAAGCAATGCTGCAATTGCAAGCAAAACACATAATGTTAGTAACCGAAAGCGTAGATGTATTGTTGGCTGGAATAAACACGTTAAGGCCGCTCACTGTGAGGCTCAATTACATTTTCGTTTATGGTGTTTACAGGGGCGACCTAGACACGGGTTATGTTTTGTAAATATGTGTAAGTCTAGAAGTTTGTTTTAAATGAAATTAAAATGGTGTCAAAATAATCAAGAACAAATTAGAATGGACATTATAGCTTCTCAACACTCTAAAAAGAATTTTGACCGTTTCTGGAAGTCCACAAACAAACTGAACCCCAAACCGGGTATCCCTGTGAGCGTCAATGGTGTCAGTGAGCCTAGGCAAATAGCAGATTTGTTCATGAAACATTTCCAGGTGCAATCTCCTCTTGGCCCCTCACTGGGAGTGCCCCCCGCGGGAGTCGGTTCAGGTGACTCATTCGAGCACGTTACAGCAAAGGAGATCGCGGAAATTATTAGGCATATGACTCGCGCCAAGTCACCTGGACACGACGGTCTCAGTGTGGAGCATTTACAGAACGGAGGTGTACATCTCCCGAGAGTGTTAGCCCTACTTTTAAATTTGTGTATTGGACATTCGTACATGCAAACTTAATGAAACAAATTTAATGAAAACTATAGTAGTTTCGATTACCAAGAACAAGACTGGAGATGTGTCGGACAAAGAACTACAAACTATAGACCCATTTCATTAGCCACAATAACGGCTAAAGTATTGGATGCGGTGATTGATAAGCGGTTATGTAATAATATGAAACTTCATGACGCTCAGTTCGGTTTCAAACCCGGACTCTCCACAGAGTCTGCAATATACTGCCTCAAGCACACCATTCGCTACTATACAGACCGACGCACACCTGTATTTGCTTGTTTTCTGGAGGAAAATTGCTTCAGAGACTACTCTATCAACAGAACACCTGTTGCTGTTAAAGTACTGGTACGGAAGCCAGTCGAATGTCGTGAGATGGGGAAACAGTTTTTCGAATGTGTACAGGTTGTACAGCGGGGTGAGGCAGGGGGATTGACGTCTCCCAAGTTGTTCAACCTGTACATAAACGGACTAATTGAGCAGCTCAGCGGTGCTAGGGTGGGGTGCTCGATTGGTGGCCGTGTCATCAACAATATTAGTTATACTGATGATATGGTGCTGTTGAGCCCCTCAGTCCGTGCCTTGAGGAGGTTGTTGAAAATCTGTGAGCAATATGCGGTGGCCCATGAACTCAGGTATAATGCTAAGAAAAGTGAGCTGCTAGTTTTCAAAGCGGGCACGAAAACATATAACACTGTTCCACCTATTACACTAGATGGTGCTCCTCTCAAGCAAGTGAAGCAGTTTAAATACCTGGGTCACTGGGTGACCGATGCGCTCACAGATAACTTAGAGCTGGATAGGGAGCGCAGGGCATTGACGGTAAGGTGCAATATGTTACCTCGCAGGTTTGCACGGTGTACGAATGAGGTCAAATTAACACTTTTTAAGGCCTACTGCCAGACACTGTACACCTGCGGCCTGTGGGTTAATTATACGCAGAAATCCTTCAATGCCCTGAAGGTCCAGTATAATAACACCTTCAGAATGCTGTTGCGGCTGCTCCCGTTCTATAGTGCGGAAGCGCGTACCGACGGTTTTGACGCAGTAGTTCGGAAACGCATTTCGTCGACCATGAGCAGGATGCGTGGTAGCGGTAACAGCCTTCTGAACACCATATCGGAGGATGTAGCGTGTCCGATACTGTGCCACTGGACCAGAATTCATGTCACCAAGAAGGGCTGGTGACATGAATTCTAATTACGCGTACCTATTGTAAATTTGTATTATTTATTTTTAAGTGTTTCTGTTTTAATTATTTTATTAAGTGTAATTTACTAACATAGTCCTAAGTTTTTGATTGTTACTAACAAAGTGGATCAATGATCTTAAATAAATAAATAATTATTATTATATATTATATTTGTATGAAAATTTATTTATTTATTAAACTTTATTGACCACAGCACATAATTAATGCTAAAAGCATTCTCTACCAGTCAACCTTTGAGGAAAACGAAGTTATTATATATATATATATATATCTATATACATAATACATATATTTATATTTGATACATACAATTACGTAAGATAATGATGGTGATAATTTTCGTTGTGACAAACTATTTAAAAGACGCTCTTGGACATTCTTTTTTAAAGAGGAGAAACTAGGAGACCTTCTGATGGGGTCTGGGAGAGCATTCCAGAGACGTGTTGAATGAAGAGTGAACGAATCAGACTTGAAGCCTGAATGAAAGAGAGATATAGAGAGTTATAGGTAAAATTAATAGTGGCGGTGTTGTCGCACCCAGACGCGCCAATGTAGCTCTTCTACAATTATCTAATCTAAAGGCGCGCCTTAGGGCTGGTCTTTGTAAATGGATATTTATTTAAATTTATCATCTACAATATTTACTTTAGAATATCGTAGAATGTACTGGCAAAACAACTACATGAAGCCTTAGCTAGAACAGATTATCTGGCAGAGCGGGTTTCCATTTCACAAAGCCTTGTTGGTTCACTGTTACAATGTTTTTAGGGGCCGAAACATGCTTTGTGTAAAAATCTGCTATTTTTCTGTTTTTCCGGGTATTCCTTGGGGCAATTTCATAGTTTTGTTTGGTTTCTTAAGGATTGGAGGTACACTTTGTTATTATATGAATTTGTTTTATCTAAAAAACATTCTTTTTTGTTTTCGAGCTCTTATACCTTACAAATAATACAATACATTTTACAGGATGAAACAACGAGATTAAAAACATTTTTTTTAGCTAGCATCGTATTGAGAACGAAATATACATGTCATATTTACCTACAATTCAAAGAAACAATACACACAGAGTAGATAATACCTTTCTCAGAAATCCCCGAATCGTGGTATTGTCTTATTTATTATTATCGTACAGCTATAACTTTGATAGAACAAAATACAATATTATATGTATAATAGTAAGGTAATTTACTTTAGTTAAGTAGTCTTCTCTACTCTCGAAGTTGTTGACAAGTATGTTTACCTAATTGAACAAACCGTCCAATTAGGCAGAGCCAACTTCAAGAAAGAGGTCAATTGTGGAATCCGACTCGGTTGGGCAACATTCGGAAAGCTCCGCGACGTCTTCTTCGTTCGGGCAGTTCTTGAAGATAAAAAGTCTTCAAGCAGCGCGTGTTGCAAGCAATGACCTACGGCTTTGAGACGTGATCAATTACTATGGGCCTCATAAAAAAGCTCAAAGTGACTCAACGAGCTATGGAGCGAGCAATGCTCTGCATTTCGAAATCGAATTCGAAGTGAGGAGGTCCGTAGAAGAAAGAAAGTCACCGACATAGCTCAAAGGATTAGCAAGTTGAATTGGCAGTGGGCAGGACACATAGCTCGTAAAACTGATGGTAGTTAGGGCAGAAAAGTTCTCGAATGGAGACCACGAACCGGTGGGCGTTCAGTGGGATGGCCCTCTACGAAATGGACGGATAACCTGGTAAGGGCTGCGAGTAACCAATGGATGCACATCGCGTCCGATCGGCTAGTTTGGAAATCTTTAGGGGAGGCCCATGTTCAGTAGTGGACGTCTTCCGGCTGATATGGTGACGATGATAGTGATTCCTGGTTACATAAGTATGAATTTATTTTTCTGTGTTATAGTATTTATAAACAGTTTTGTATCTGTAAGTAAAAACACAAATATCAATAATTTGTATATATAGGTTTAATTAAGTATTTTTATTGCCTTTGTTACTTTGATTTGTTCATATTGATTTTTATAATTTATTAAAACTTGTTTGGTATTCTGTTCCTATTACGCTAATTGTTAACTTCTAATTTGTAACGAGGAAACATTGATTACCTGCGAGACAGGCTTATCCTAATGCCGGAATCAAAATCAATTCTCTGTACGCGATATGCGCTGCAACAAGTTGTGTCTCTAATGTTGTATTTCATTTCTTTTTATTACGTGTCTTCCTGCACAATTCTGTTGTCAAATAAATAAATTTTGATATTTAATTTTCAATATTTTATTTTATTAAATATCATGATGTTTTCACTGTCGTGATATTCGTAAAAAAAATATTCGTAATATTTTTTGTGAAAATACTCCCCTAGTTTGTTGTTATTATTGATACAAAGGTCGAACAAGAACAAAGAAAAATTTCTTTCGTCAAATTCAAACATTTGAATATGGCTGGAATCGAACCAGGCGCTTTTTCACCAAACCAGGGCTAATGCTCTCCCAACTGAGCTACGGAACGAGTTAGCAGCTTTTAGAAAATCTCAATGTGCTTGCTGCAGATCTATGTTTTTGGTTTCAACGGTGTTTGCCATAGCGCCATCTGTGAGAAACTTATTAAGTCTCTATTTGTGTTTTGTAGTTGGCTCATCACCGCACCATTAGTAGTTCGTATTATTTATATTATTTTTTCTTTTTCATACCAAAATTTCTTTAAAGGTACGAATTATGGAACTATTGAAAAAATACTATTATCATAACTAATCACTGAAATACTGCAATTCGAGAGTGAAATGAAAATAAACTAATAGAATAAGTCAAGATGGCAAACGCCCGGACGCAATAAGTCACATCCCTTGGAGTATGGGCCGGGCACTGGTGTGGGACGCCACATACCATCTCCAGCACACCAGCAAGAGGGCAATCTCGCTACTGAGCTTGTGGAAAGAATAACAACGTAATAAGGACCAGAATCTCGACTTCCACTACCTATTTAAAGCCTTTGGTATCGAAACGTGGGGTCCTAGTGACCTTCATCTGTATAAAATTTTATCGAAGAAATTAATAGACTGTCTGGGAAACCCACTTTTTTACCTTACTATATATATTATCAAAATAAAAATATCGCCCTAAGTCATATCACGTCAAACTATAACATTGACGTCACAATCATAACGCCGTCGTATTGGGCTGTCGTCTGAATTTCATTTCATATATTGACTCAATTGTGAAGACATCTGTCAAATAAATGGTTTTATAAAGCGAAATAGAAAGGGTATATCCAGGCTTTGACCAAAACTGCACAGTTCAACGATTTATTTCGCTGTGTTCTTGAATTTACTTCTGCTGTCTGGAATCCTTTGTACATCGTGCATTCGGTATATATGTAGAGAGCTAGCAACGCATCTTTCAAGATATTTGGCGTTGGTTGGGTTTGGTGTGACTTATGTATCTCTAGAAGATGTGAAAACTGATCAATTTTCTTTATGTGTATGAGATTGCAAATGAAATTGTTAATTATCACCAAAATCAATTTTTTTTAATAATATTAAGTGACAGGACGAACAAGTCGTGCGCCTGATGGTCAGCTACACGCCTATCCATAACAGTTGCAGTGCCACTCAGAGCTTTATATCGCAAAGATCTGAGGACATCGCGTACACACGTACGTATCACAATTTTTTTGCACTTAAAGAATTAATAGATTCAGGCATTTGCTGGAGTCCATGTTAATGAAAGTGGATGTAAATTAATTTTCTACTCTGCGAACCCAGTGGAGGTTGAGTCGTGCAAAATAACTGCGGTTGTCTTGATTTTTTTTCATGCAGTTAATTTTCCTAGACTTCCACATACTTCCACCGCCAAAAATATGCAAGACACTTGTTTAACCTCTCAACGAGGCATCCTTAGAGGTTGTTGATCGTTCGACCCTCGGTTGAGCGTCGACTCAGTGAGGGCTTGTGAGAAATCTATGAAAGATTTTCTTCACTCATCCAGGTATCTTCCACTAAGCCCTAAAGCTACCAGCGGTTGACAAAAGATGTTGCTTTTTTTAAAAATCTGACAGTACTCGAACTTGAGTCTGTAGATGCAATTTCGTGTCCTATCAGATAGAATGTTTTTTCGTGTTCGATCTTTATATTAATGTTTACAACAATTACCTCTTGTCAATAAAGTACAGTAAATTATAAATTGTCTTTAATTTATTGAGCTCGTCTAGATCCTTTTCATCTTCTGAACTTCTGCCGTAACCGCCAATTTCTTTAAATCGCAAAGATTTGAGGGCACTGGCACTGCGCTCGTTAACCTGAGGAATAAGTTAACAAGTCCCATGTGGCTGTAATTTCACCAGCACCCTTACCCTTCAAAACCGAAACATAATAATGCTGACATTACTGTTTGGCGGCAGAAATAGGTAAGGTGGCAGTACTTCCCTGAACGAACTCTTTTACATGGAGCTCTACTGCTACTAAACACTACACAAGTAACAAAATTTTTAATTACAGTTTGTCTGATCTAGCTGACTCATCGTTTGCGCTCAATCCTCATTCACACAGTCCTTTAAAAGCACTTTGGTCTGAAACTAGAGACGCTTCAGGATATTACGTCCCAAATTCCTTGTATTACACACATATACCGACTAAACCCCTATGTTAA